GCCTGTGTTTTGCATGTTTTTGCTTTAATTGGATTTAATCATATCTGTCATGAAAGGACAGATTTCAGAGAAGGGGTACAGCCTTGTCAATAAGACACAGAAGTTAGAAATACTTAGTTGCCCCTAAGTTTCTCCTCCAGTTAGTCCAGTCCCCTTGTGTGGTAAGAGTGGCGGGACTGACGGCCGCTGCTTGTGGATGTCTCACTTTGAGGGTGTGTCTAAGAAATGTGCACGTGTCTCTCCCTCCCCTGTGTTCGCAGTCGCTATGTAAGCCTGGTTTACCTTTTTTTTCCTCAGACTTCTTCTGAAGGCCTCCAGTTTCACACTTAATGCATAAGCCATAATGGAACTGACTCCTTGACTAGCTTGGAGCAGTGCATTTCCTCTTACCCGCGAGTATTCTCTGTGTGTGTATGTGGGGGCTGGAGGGGGGAGAGCCGTATGTCAGCTTTCTGTATCCCTATTCATGGTGCCAGAGTTACTTGGACTTGAGCTTTGTGTTCAGTCTTCTGCTTTTGATAGCCTCTATTTGTAACAATAAAAATCAATCATTTGACGTCTCATAATGGATGAGCCTTGTGTCCTCATGCTTAATGTACAGTCTCATGACTGACAGGACAAAAACCTCAATTAAGTAATTTTTTTTAAAAAAATAGAAGTTTCTGAATTCCTTGGTGCTAAGCAACAAAACCCTGTCATGGATATAGATGCCCCTGTTGACTTCAAATCTCCTTGCTGGAAAGCTCCCTCGAATATGTTGTTTGCTTAAAGGTACAGGCATACCTCGGAAATATTGTGCTTTCCATTCATACCTCCACAGCAGACCTAATATTGGAATAAAGAGAGTCACATGATACTTTTTGTGTAGCTGCCCAAGTGCATATACCAATATAAAATAAAAATAAAGTGGGGTTAAAAGTTGGCTTATACAATTGTGTAGTCTCCTAAAGGTGTAATAACCTTCTGGAAAAGATTCAAGATATTGTGAGAATTACCAGAGTGTGACACGACAACACAAAATGGCGCACTAATGGTGCTTTTAGACTTTCTTGATACAGGGTTATTACAATCCTTCAATTTGTAAAATACTCTTATCTATGAAACAAAGTAAAAAGTAAGCACAATAAAATAAGGTATGCCTATACTGAGGGTGATGGACAATTCTAAAGATAATTCTGCTCCTTTAGAATCTTAGAGTTACATAAACTGTCTTTTATCATCTAGGGCTCTAGGAGTGAGAGATGACACGAAGTTCATAGGGTTCTCTCTGGCTAATTGAGCTTTTCCTATTGAGCTGCAATGTCAAAATGGCTCCAGAGTTTAAATGAAAGCACAATCCAGTGTACCAGTTTTTGTTGGGGCAAATCCCAGCTGTGGGTTCAGTGCCATCACTGTTGCCTGGGGACTTTGGGGCTCATTCTGAAATAGCCTTAACTTCTGCCTAATGGTCTCTAATGAATTTTGTGGATGAAGCTCTTACGGTGGATACATTGAAGGCAAGTTCAGTTAAAGACTCTTCCTCTTCCTTCTTTTGCCATCATTTGCTCCCCTTTCCCCGTCTCTTGTTTTTCTCTCCCCTTCTCTTCTCTCATTCACTGTCAGGAAAGACTACCTTTGAAGGGACAATTCTGTACCGAGCTGCACCGGGCAAGACGGAGGGCCACAGACGCTATTACAGTGAGTGACCATAATGCAGGAGGCGACTGTCAAGATAAGCTCCGGGCCTTGTATTTCTTTGCTGTAGCCGTGCTTTCCCTGAGCCACCCATGCTTCTGCCGAGTGTGTGTGTGTGAACTTCCCACCCAAGGGCATGTCCTTATTGCCCGCGATAAGTGCCATATCCTTGGTGCGGCTGCAGGAGCATTCTCACCACCAGCCCTTGGTGCCCTTGTTGCTTCTTGTTTGCTTTGTGGCTCTATCATGTATGTGCCATGCGTGCATGAACCATGCATATGGAGAAGGGCCCAGCCGCATCTGCCATGGCACGGGCATCTGTACCAGTACTTCCAGGCTTCTGGGGCAGGATCAGGTGGCTTGCTGTGGAGATGCCAACCTGTCACAATGATTTCTTTCTCTGATGGGGACATTGGGAACCCAGAAACCATGTATTCATTGTGTGATTCAAAGGAATAAGAATGCAGCAGGGACACCCATGCCAGAAATGGTGTTCGGCTTTGCGCATCCAGCCAGTAGCCACATGGCAGAGCCAATGCATAGCCTTTTGAGCCATAGGAGGGACCTGCCAGATGTTGGCCGAAAAGAGAAAAATGGAACTAATGAGTTAATTGTCTGAAACCCTTCGAACAGGCCCTGCCAACTGGTGGGCACTGCATAGCATGTGGATTCTGAGTTCATTACGAATCAGATAGAGTCAAAGGGGCTCACAGATCTACATTGGCCATATTGCTAAAGTCATAACACGCATCACACAAAAGTGGGTGCTCGTGTGACTGGCGCAGTCGCAGATTTGGGAGCCTTTGTCTACCTTACTATCTAGATGATGAAAGAGAATGTTTTCTCAGGAGCACCAGAGCCGTGCTTCACAAACGTTCTGTGTGAAGGGCAGTTTGATTTCTATCCTGTGAGGAACTGAGGCCTGGCCCATTTGTGTGTGACTGCTCCACAGGCACCTCTGGTGGGAGGTGAATGGAGCCTCAGCTTGTGTGCATCCAGTTCCCCTGGAGAAGTCACATCCAGAAGCCTCACCGGTGCATATTACTAGAGACGTTTCTAAACATGCACACGGTCTGCATCTACCTTGTCTTGACCTGTGACACACCCCGTGTGGGCCGGCCACAGTCCACACTTCATACCCTGGGTTGCTCTGCATGGAGGTAGCATCTGGCATTCTGAGCATGACACTTTATGCCATGACTGGGGGCATTTTATGGGGTAGCGTGTGTGGTGAGTACCAGCAGCTAACAGATGTAGCACCCAACAGACCTGGAAATGAAATGCCCTCCCCCTTTTCTTCCAAAGAGAAGGAACTAGATTTGGAGTTATTTTCCCAAGCCACATAGCCAGATACTTGATTTCATACTTAAAAGTGATCAGACTTAGGTGGCCAGAATTTTTCCGAGAAGAATCTGCTATCTCCTCCCAAGACCAAGCTTATGTGATTGACTGACCAGGCAACCCCTCCAGGTGTGACGTACAGGGTTTGACTCACAGTGATACATCTGAAGTTAGGAAAGCACGTCTGGGTGGTGGCAAATACCTACACAGAAGCTCAATAAAAATTAGCATGACAGAAATTGACAAGATTCTGGTCCTTGCCAGCGAGGAACAACAGAAGAATGCTTCAACTTTTCCACTGGAATAGCTGAAGCCAGCTTGCCCTAATCCATTTGCCTTGCTGCCTTCTGGTGCTAAGGTAGGGGGTCAGGGGGCAGCAGTGGTTTCTCCCCACTAACTGTTCCTTCATTCCTCTCTCAAGTGGCTCTCTCCAAACCCGAAAAGAATATACAAGCCATTTATCACACAGAAAGAATCCATACGGCAAAATGAGAACATGTTAAAGGGGAAATGACACAATATTTAGACTCTAAAATTACATCTCCAGCAGGGGTATTTCCGAAAACAATGAACAAATAAGCTCACAAGTGATCAGGAATCCAGGGGACTTCCTTGTGTTTGTATACTCGGAGCCAGGCCTATGAGTTACAGCTGGGCCCTTGCTGCTATTAATGCTCCTCACCACCGTTTGGCTTGAAAATGTCGTTTTCTTGAAAGCAGGACAACCACCAACAAAGCCTTTGCTGTAAGAAGGATTAGATTGTTGACATTTGTTCACAATTTCTTTCTATATTTTGCCTTCTTTCACTTAACAGTTTCCTCCTGCACTGAGGCATCCTGACTTGAATGACTCCACCATTCTGTGCCTTTTTATGTGAGCACTCATTTGGTGTGTCATTCTTGTGTCCCGGGAGGCTAATAGAGGACACAATTCACTGACGAGCTTTTGTCCCAGAAGGGTCCTCGTCATCCAGAGCTGTGTGGGAAATGACGGGGAGCCACCCTGCGCATGCGGCGGGCTCCACTGTCCTAGAAGCTCTCCTTTGAGTCCCGCCCTTTGAAGACCTGACTGATAGTATTGACCAGCCACACTCAGAGCTAAACTGGACCCTAAAAGGGCATGACCTGGGAGGAGGGATGGGAAAACTTCAGGGAGATAGGTGTCCTGATGTCTTGCTTATCGCTAGGCAGTTACTTCCAGCACAGGTCCTCGGAGGCCAAAGGAAGGGCATCTTGCTCCCAGGAAAAGGATTCCGTTTGGGGGTAAATGGTGGGGTTAAGGAGGCAGAAGAGCTGGGTGGCGGGCCCTGGCCTCTCGCTTCCTTTCCCTCTTTAACAAACACGAGCATCTTGCCAGCTAACTCATCTTTAATGTCAAGTTTGGTTTAGTGTTTTCCTAGAGAAATGTGTCTGCATGCATTTAGCCTCGTGAAGCCATCCAGAGATGTCATTCTTTGGCAGTCATAATTTTGTGTGGTTTCTTTTAATTGCTAATTTGTTTAAATGGCTTTTAGCTTTACAGTTTCCCTTTAGGAGATGTTACTTTCCATGCTAATTGCTAATTGACATGAGTCGTAGAAATTGGAGGTACAGTATGTGGCACTGCCTGGGCCGGGAGGCGAGGAGGGGAGGGGCAGGGCAGTGGGGGTGCTGTATTGAAGGGGGTTATCACACAGACTGTGGCAAAACAAATTGGGATCTGAACAAGGCTCCAGTTGAAGAGTGGTGAAGTGAATTCCATGTGCAGAAAGACATCTTTGAAATACATTTTTCTGAAAAGTTTTTTTAATTACTTCTTAAAAGTAGCAACTTGGGGTGAGGCGATGCAAACAAAACTCAGAGCCACTCAGGCCAAATGCAAAATCCCAGGGCAGGTGGCTGCGTCTAGGAACGCATTGGAGGTGGTTCCTGGCCAGCCAGGCAGTTCCTCCGGGGTCCAGCCCATTTCTGAGCTCTTTCTCTCCCTACCCCCCTACTCCTGGCAGGTTTGCGGGAAACCACAGGCTCTGAGAGTGACGGCGGGGACTCAAGCAGCACCAAATCCGAAGGTGCCAATGGAACTGTCGCCACTGCAGCGATCCAGCCGAAGAAAGTCAAAGGCGTGGGCTTTGGAGACATTTTCAAAGACAAGCCAATAAAACTAAGGCCAAGGTCGATTGAAGTGGAAAATGACTTTCTGCCAGTGGAAAAGGTATGTTTGACGAGTTTCTGTTTTACAGACACACCCGTCTTCTCGTGCACCACCGCCTCACACTCCACAGATCGTGCACTTTTGTTCAACATCTGAAGATTCGTGGACCCTGTGTCAGGCAAGGCTAGCAGCGCCATTTCCCCAGCAGCCTCGTGTTTACTTCGTGTCTCGGTGTCGCCTTTGCAATTCCCATGATATTATCTTGGACTTTGTCCTGATGCTCCTGCCCACTTACTCAGCTACCAAAACATCCCAGAGTGAACCCTCAGCCGAGCTAACTCCCACTCCTGGCGGCCCCCCAATGGGGTCTCCACAGCTGTGGCCCTTCCCAGGGGCGGACTGCATCTTGCTCTTGCAGAACAGCTGGTGGATTCCACTCATTGACGCTTTTGATTAGTAGCCCAACGTGCAAGACACTGAACCACCAGGACTCTGTGAGAGGCTGTAGTTTGCTGTGGCCGTAACTTTTCTGTGGACAGGGAAACCAAGACCCCATGGAACCTGCAGTGTATACGGCAGTGTCAGTCCATTGCAGTGCTTGGCAGCTGAAGCCAGGGTCTCCGAGGCACACCTGTGTCTCATGGTGTGGAGGCCCCAAAAGAGCGCATCTGAGGTTAGAAGTGTGAGGCTTTGGGGGCCTCCACGTGTGTCCCTCTCCACCCTCGTGCTCTGTTGGTGGCTCCTGGTTTTGGAGTGCTTTTCAGGTCGACTTGCCCCGTGCACTGGTACTTCTCCATTTCTGCCCCAGCAAAACCAAGTCAGGCCTTGGATCCTGACACCTCCCAAACACCCATCACCCCTCATACATTCCCCTAGTACCCTGCGATTGGGTGTGTCGACTGGTCCCATTTGCAGGGGAGTGAAGCCAGATGTGTGTTTTCTCTCGGAATCAGGAAGAGATGGTTTCCAATGGGCTGGAAGGAAGCCTCCCGTGTGCGTGAAGGCCGGTGCCGGCTTGTGCTGTGACTCCCTGGGTGTTCCCATCACGGAGATGGCTGTTTTCTTTGCCTCTTGTTCAGGGTTGGTGAGAGGCATACAGTGTGTTGCTGCTGAGTATGGTGTTGCCATGGCAACACACCTAGAGCCATCCATGCTTGTGGCTGTCAGTGACATCTGCTATGGCATGCTTCTGAGCATCATACGCTCACTTACGATTTGATAAACACTGGAATTTTCCAGATCGTAATAAGCAGCATTCATGCTATGCTAATTGAATGTTTATTAGTTTGATTGAGTACTGAAATTTTTGCTTGGACGTCTGAGCCAGCAGGCTTGGAAGATCAGGCATTGACAGCGTGGCCTAAATCAGGGTATTGGTGGTTTTGAAATGGTATTCATTTTTGAGTGAGAGGAAATTTGAGAAGTTGTGCCACCTGACTTAGCTGCAGCACTTCCACCCAGGCATTGTTTTCCAGTGTCATCATGCCTTAAAGAACAGAATCTAAGAGGGAGACTTTCTGGACTGTCCTACCCTTAGACAAGAAGAATGCAGAAAGAGTGGATCCTTGGAAATGAAAACTGTTGGCATTGTTCTTTTGGGGATGTTTCTTTGCACCAGGGTTATTTCCTCCAGCTATCACTGTACAGTATTTCTCCAGGTCTGAAAACTCTCTAGTCAGCACCCCAGCTTGGGAGCTTGTATTTGTTTCACAGTGTCCAATGTAGAATTCTGAAAATAATGACAGAGGGGCAAGTCTCCATCTCGGGAAGGAACGTGGGTGCAGTCGTTCGTTATCTTATTTAAGTGGTTGGAATGAGCTTGACCACTGACTCAGGCTGCTCATGGTCCATTCTTTCCATCTGTCTCTCACGCCTTTGTCTTATTGTTTTCTGGGTAAGGAGACCATTGTGTTACTGCGTGCTGTCACTATTAATGTTTGTTTAAATGTGTAATAGTAAGTTGAATTATTATTATGAATAGTATGAGTGTCAAATCTGATGCTCCCAAGCATGGCTTTTGCTGACATTAGAGCCTTCTGTCCTGCTGCCGGCTTCATTGTCTCCACAGGGAGACCGTAAGGCCACAGCAGCCTGTCCAGAGCTGAGCATCTCCACATCTCCCTCAACCTGCTCCACTCATGGCTGCCCCTCCTACCTGGAGGCAGTGACATCCTTCCCATTGCTCAGAACAAAATCCTTGCTGTTGTCTCTAACTTTTCTCTCACATCCTGTGTCCCGTCCATCAGAGACCCTATGAGCCCTGCCTCTTGAACATGCCCAGAGCCTAGCCATGTCTCATCACCTCCCATGGCCTCTTAGCATCCATCTCTGAAGTGGCTTCTGAATAAATAAGCCTCCCTGCTCCCCCCTCCACTGCCAGGCTAGTCTCCATAGTGCAGCCAGCATCAGCTGACCAGTTGATGTCAGATGTTGGCAACGAACTGCTTACACCTCTGCGCAAAGAAAGTCAGAGCCCTTGCCTTGGTCTGTACAGCCTAGGTGACCTGGCCCTGGCTCTTGCTGACCTCCTGCCCCTCACACGGCACTCACACCCCCTTGTGAGGACCTTGGCCCCAAGGATCTTCTGCTAGCTCTCTCTGCTCTTGTACCCTCACCTGGCTGCCTCCCTCCCATCCTCAAAGGCTTGGTGCAGACCTCATCTTCTCACTGTGACCTCTCCCCTCCCCTCACACCCATTACTTTTTTTTCTCAGAAGTTTAAAAAATTTTTTTGTTTTCTTTAGCCTGCTCTACTTTCTTACCTAATGTTTATCTATTATTGAAAAATTGTATTAAGATAGCTTTATTGATTATTATGCCCATTATATGAGAGGATCAGGTAGCTAATTTAACAGTTACATAGTTGAAAACAACTCTGGTAAGTTATTCTTGTTGTGTGCCATTGAGTCAGAACCAACCCGTAGCTAAGTGGTAAAAATTATGCTGCCAACACAAAGGTACACAGTTCAAATCCTCCAGTTGCTCTGCAGGAGAAATGTGGGCAATCTTCTGTCAGATTTACTGCCTCTGAAAACCTGTAGGCGAGTTAGCTGTGGATTGATTCTGACTCAACAGAACACAACTACAACATAGTTGAAGATGAAGGCATTGGTGATTTCATGGTAAGGCTTTTTACCCCACCCCACACCTCCGTGTGGGAGACTTTGGATTTGATAACCTAGTCTGTGTACCTCAGCCACCAAAAGTCTATCACTGGAGGCTTCTGAATGCCTGTCAGCAGAACAGATGGCAGCAAAACGTTCAGACTAAGAAGGACTAGGAAGAAAGGCCTGGTGATCTACTTCTACAAATAAGCCAAAGGAAAACTTATGGATCCCAGTGGTCTAATCTGCAGCCAGTTATGGGCATGGGGCAGAACTGTGTAGCATTTTCCCCCTGTCATACTTGGGGTCAACACTAGACGGGGTCTGACTTGATGACAGCTAACAACATATTTCACTATACTTTTTGTGGACAAAGAGAATCTTTCTTACATTGGCCTTTGTGACATCAGAGTAATATACAGTTGTACGTATGGGTGCGAGTGCACGCACTGATTCGTGATTTGTTTGCATAATGAAACTGAGTGCTGGCAGCTCCCTAACATGCTTCTCATCGTCAAGTCTCCAGAGGAAATATAACCTTCCCAGGCTGCTTTGCTAGCTCCAGACAATTTGTACCGCCTATAAAAGAACTGGAGACTTTCTCTGTCCTTGTTGTCGGCACCATGGATAGTTGAATAGATTTATGTATCCATTACGTTATTGCACAACCTGGCATGAAACAGATGAGTGGGATATTGTTTTATTAGTGTACAGCCGATTTCTCATCACTTTTGAGATGGGTTTGTGTCTAAGATTTATGTTTAAGGAAGGCTACTTCCTTTGAGAATTGATCTCACAGTTTTTATTTGCAGAAGCACAAATTGCACCTCATTTGTGACAGCATTTGTTAGGCTGACACCGGTAGGTCTTCCACTTACACTGTGACAGTTGGTTTTGCACCAGGCTGGTTCGATTACTTGGAATAAGGAAGAGGAGAATCTGACAATGATTAACAGTTGCGAGCATCATATTCTACTTTCCATTCGAATTTGTAAAGTGTTGAGACCCGTTGGGTTTCTCGTGTGTGTGTGTGTGTGTGTGTGTGTGTAACTTAATGCTTATTTTACTGTGCTGTACTTAATCCCTACCAAGGAACCCTTGTGGCATAGTGCATAATATATGCTGGGCTGCTCTGAGAAAGCTTGGCAGTTCAGATCCTCCAACTGCTGTGTGGAAGAAAGCTAGGTAGCTCCTCCTGTAGAGGTGATGGCCTATGGCCTCGGGCGCCTGATGGAGGTCTCCTGAGTTGATGTTGACTTGACAGTGGTGGATATGGTTTGCTTTTGTGTTTAACCCCTATGACTCCACCCAGAATGACTGAAGGTACTTAGATCTCACCATGGGAGCAGCAACTGTGCCTGCGGTCCTTTGCTCACCCTCCACCCCACACCCTCCCTCCCACACCCTGAATAAAGACGTTGTGATGGTAGCTGTTCTCTTATCAAGCCACAAGGACCCTGCAGTGCAGATACACAGCTAGCTTCAACCAAGACTCAAAGATGCTAATTTAGCAGTTTGAATTTTGATCCTTTAATATAATTTAATATTCTCATCTTTTGAAACAGAAACAGTCTTTTAAGAAATTTGCTACTTGAGTACACACGTTTCTTGTTGATAAACTCTGTCAATTATAATAATTCCCTTTTAGCAATCATTTCCGTATTAATAATAGATAAAGCTGTTAATAATATTTAAATTATATGATTTAATGGAAATATTTACAGAAGTGGGAAACTCTGGTGGCTTAATGGTAAGGAATTGTACTACCAACCCAAAGGTGTGTGGTTCAAATCCACTAGCTGCTTTTTGGGAGAAAGATGAACGATCTTCCATGTACTCTGTGGCCTCTAAAAACCCACTGGAGGGTCAGCTCTCAGTCAGCTCTGACTCAATGGCATATAACAACAACATTTACAGAAGAAGTGATAATATTTGAGAATTGCTCCTAAAATTCTAG